CATGACTTGTAGGATGTTCAATAGGTCCTGTGGATTAATGAGATGCGCAAAGTTAGTCTATACACTTAGTCATAACAAAAAAAAAAAAAAATGATACCCAATTAACTAATCTCCGAGGCTATGAAATCTTACAAGCCCAAATACCTAGATAAGGCACAATGTGATAGGTGGTCCCAAATTTGAACCACAAAATCAAAATGAAGTAAACCTCCTTGGCCACCAAGCAACCCCTGATGTTAATTTTATGTAAAAATCGTTCTTCACCTCACTCGCCTCCTCTTAATCATCAAAAATCAAAATCCAGTTCTCTAACTCAATTTCTTGTACTTTACAATTTATATCCTTTGGTGAAGCAAAGTGCATAAAAATGGATTTGTCTAGGTACAAGGAAATCACACTTTAGCATTTTCTCTTTTCTAATAAGAAATTGAGTTTGAGAATAGTGAAGGAAAGAAAGGTCTTTGTAAAATTTATTGCAAGTAAGATAAATAAGATGATGGGATATTTGTGATTCTACCCTTAGGTTTAGTTAATATTCAAAAATCATTGCCCTTTCCAGGAAACCATAAAAGCTACCCTCAAACCTTAACTTCATCAAAAGAAAGTTAATGCCCAAAGATAATTTAGTCATTGGTGATCGGCATCTATAAAAATGAAGATAAATTAGTAAGTTTATATATATTTTAATGGACTTACTTAATTTTAGTGCCAGAGAAGTTTTCGGTAATTTCTTGTATTAACAAATCTTAGGGTACTTTTTTTTTTTTTTTTTTTTAAATCACTGAGGATGTCCAGACTAGCTTACATGCTTTCAAATAATTCGGGGTCTAGAACTGCAAACGGGTAGAGCTCTAGTTTGCAATGGTTACCCCTATATTGCTGAGGAAACTCGAACACATGGCTCCGTTTGTTCACATTTTTATGTTTTGGGAAAGTTTTTTGAAAAAAATTAAAAAAAATAAATTGGGGGGTATTACGATGTAGGATTTACAAATAATAAAAAAATGCCCCCTATGTTTGTTTTTTTACAAAACACCCCTATAATAAAACATTAAAGTTAACAAAAACACCCCCAACCCACCCATCAAATATGGACAGCTAACCACCAACGCCGGAGGGTGGCCGGAGTAGTCGTATCGGTGCAGACTCGGGTGATCTTGCGGTCGTGGGTGATATGGCTTTTCGGCCAGATCCACAGTGGATCTGGTCGGCAAAGACCAGATTTACGGCTAGATTGGCCATGACAGTCAGATCTGGCCGCATTTGCTCGTAACAACAGCCAAAGATACGACCATCGTTGATGGTCAACGAAGACCCTATGTTGGCTATCGTTGACGTTGTTTACGGTCAAGAGTCTAGCCTTTTCCGACCAGATCACGTGGATCTGGTCCAGAAAAGGCTAGATCAGGTGCACTACCGGTAAGATCAAGCGGTGAGGGTGCATCCTACCAGATTTTTGGCCAACTTTCGGCAGTGGTGGCCGGAATCTGGTATAATGTGGGTTTATGGTGTGTTTTTGCCATTTCGAAAAAAATATTTAGAGTTATTTAATTAAATAACAAATTAAGGGGTTTAAAAAAAAATTGAATAATATGGATAACATGTGATTTTGGGCATTAACTGTTTAACTTTTTGAGAATACTAATAATAGTATTCCCAAAAACTAACCAAACAGGAGCTATATACTCTTTAACCATCATGCATGGTGGTTTTTTAGAAAGAGGGGAACCGTTGGGGTATTTTATGAATCGTTTCAATAAGATGTGTGCATGTATATATAAATATGTCTGAATGGATAAGAAGTGTATGATGATGGTGCTGAAGAAGAATTATGAAGATTGTTATAAAGCTACCTGGAATTGGTAAAGACATTTTGTCTGTAATAATGATGACCACAAACCCATAGCTGACCAGAAATTTCTGGGTCTGGGTCCATGTCTCTATAACTCTTAATTTTTATGAATTTGATTTGAAGTTGCACCACTGCTATCAATTTACCTCATTGATTAATGCATTTCTTTTGGTGTATCTATTGTGCACTGCACTTTGCTTATAGTTGAAGAAAGTTTTAAATTTAATCAGGCTGCGTTTGTTTACATTTGGGAATACTACTTTTAGTATCCCAAAAAGTTAAACAGTAAAATACCCAAAATTCAGATTTTTGGGAAACTACTCCCAAAATTATTCAACTTTTTAAACCCCTTATTTGATAATAAATTAAATACCCCTAAATATTTTTTTTAAATTACAAAAACACCCCAATATCCACATTTACCAGATTCCGGCCACCACCACCGAAAATGGCCGGAATCTGGTAGAATGGCGCACTACCGGCTGAATCTGGCGCGCAGTGCGCCGATCTAGCCTTTTCCGGCCAGATCCACGGGGATCTGGCCGGAAAAGGCCAGATCTAAGGCCAAGATCTGGCGTTGACGACCAGATCTTTGGCCGTAACACTCGGTCACGACGGCCAACAACGGTCGTCGTTGACCACAACGACGACCGTTTGTCGGCCGCTCTGACCGTAGATCTGGCCTTTTCCGGCCAGATCCACCGGTAGGATCTGGCCGGAAAAGGCCATAGCGACGCCATGACCGGCAAGATCCAACCGGTCATGCGCCCATACGGTGCTCCAACCACCTCCGTGGTGGTCATGTGCGCCGCTGGGGTGTTTGAGGGTGGGTCAGGAGGTTTGTAACTTTTAATGTTTATTATAGGGGGTATTTTTAAAAAACAAACATAAAGGAGATTTTACTAATTTATAAATTTTACCTCGTATAACCCGCCCATTCAACTTTTTTTTACTTTTTTCAAAAAACTTTCCCAAACCCCCAAATTTTGAACCAACGCAGCCCAGATTTTTTTTTTTTTTTTTTTGGTATAGTTCGAGTCCGCCAGAGGATTATTTTTCTTTAATCATTAAACCAATAATGATAATATATTGGTAGGTGCCATAATTATGAAAACGAGACTTATGTGAAGTGTCACGATCGACAATAGTTAAAATGAGTTTAATATTCAAGCTTTTTATTAATAAAAACTAACAATATCTCTTAACTCATAACTGATTGATTTTATCTAATTATTTTTTTTTTTTTTTGGGTGATTACCAACGCATCTTATTATTAAAATTAATATGTGGTTGATGTGTTAACACCCCACCTCATGAAATTAATAAAGTCATCGGACGTTGCCATTGAGGTGTCTGGGCTGATATCACTGTACAAATGGGCCAGTCCAGGCCTATCTTTTCATAGAGGTCCAATAGTACATGAGGTCTAGACAGGATCAAATCCCAAGCTTATTTTGGACAATGCTAGTCAGCTCGCAAGTAGGCCTGCCTAGACGCTGTGGTCCTACTTGTCTAATTGTAAGTTAACCAATTGCTAACTGTCACGTCAGGATTGTGAGAGAAAGTTTATAAGATTAGGTTGTGAGCAATTTTTATTGCTAGTTAAAACTAGAGAACCTCTTTTAGACTTTTACTGAATTTTCTTTTTCTTCTAATACAAAATTATGCAATAAATGGGTAGTTAAGTTTGGGGAGAACAATTTTTCCCACCCAATGTTTGGCAAAACGACACTTTCCCACCCTTTGTCAGGTTCTATTAGTATTTTCTGTTAATATTTAATTGAAAATACGAAAATACCTTAAATAATTCATTTCTTAATTAGTTTATTATAAATTAAAATTTAGTTAAGTCAAAATCTTTACTCGATTATTTATTAGTTTAAGTGTAAAGATCTCTTTTTTCCTTTATTTATTTAATTAATTAGGAATATTGATTTTCTATATTAATTAGTAAAAATAAAAAACATTATGTTATGAAAAACATTATAAATTTATTAGATTATTGAATAATAGTGATGAGTTATTGATGATATTATAAATAAATATTAAAGTCATTTAACTTTAAACAATTCCATAGCATTACTCATAACTTGTTAGGTGGGACTAATTAATTTTTTTTTTGAATTTTTGATATTTGACTTTTTGGCTAATTAAAAAATTATAAAGTAAAAAATTTAAGAATATTTTTGTCTTTTTAGTAAAATATTAATGAAAAACATAATAGAACCTAACGAAGAGTGGGAAAGTGTAATTTTGAAACTTGAAGGGTGGGAAAGTTGTTTCACCAAACCTTGGGTGGGAAAATGTGATTCTCCCTTGAGTTTGACAAAGGAAAGGGCTATAGATTCTGATTAATTTATGAATATTCCAATCACCATCAGGGATGCTAGAAATATCATTCAACAATCAACATTACTTGATAGATAATATATATATATATATTTTTTTATCAAGTAATGTTGAATGATATTTCTGTTGAAAATACAATTTTCAATTAAACTGACTCGACTTTCTACCACGTAGCACACTCATCAAAATTAGCTTGCTAATAGGATTAATAAACTAAGTCTTGTCTCTTATTAATTTAGGAATGTGTGTAACGTTCCTGTAAAATGCAAACCAATACATTTCACACTTACAGGAAAATTACTCAGAAATTATGAACTTGAACCAATTCAAATAAGTTGACAGAATAGGCAAGGTGTCTCAAGCTGTGTCTGCTGCATTAACGATTACTCATAGACAAAGCTTTGAAAATTTGGAATTTTTGTCGTCAAAAGGCTAGGTTTGTAACGTATGTGGTTTTAGAAGTAATAAAAAAGGAAACGTTTTATATTAGTAAGAGAGGAAAGTCCATGAAACGTATTTGAAGGTCCAGAATTTTCCAAGTATTGACACATATAGTCAAGAATCAAGATATAGTCTATTAATTCCTTTCGGCTCCTATCAAAATCAATAAACACACGGTTAAATTCTTAATGTTCAATCTTCTTCCTTGTACTTTCTCGTTCAAAATCAACCCTAAAAAAAGGCATCAAACGGGAAATGTTCTTTACTGAAAACACGAATGTTTGAAACCTTCTCTGTGTATGTATATATATATATATATATATCCAATCCACACAACAACATAAACAAAAACAAAAAAGAAACTTGTCAGAAAAGATTTCACAAAAACTTACTTCTTCAAGAAAAAAAACAAACACACCCGCCCACCAACCATGCAATATCGTCCTTCTCCCGCCATGAACAACTTGAACCGCTTCTTGTTCCGCCAAAACCCTCAAACCCGCTTAGCTAATCGGGTCATTAAACCCTGCGACGTGTTCATCAACCACAGAGGGATTGACACGAAGCGAACAGTCGTCACTTTGCTTTACGATCATTTGTCGCGGGTTAATCTACATCCATTCTTGGACAACAAGAACATGAAGCCGGGCGACAAGTTATTTGACAAGATTAATAGTGCCATCAAGGGCTGCAAAGTTGGCGTTACTGTGTTTTCACCTCATTATTGCGAATCGTATTTTTGTCTTCACGAATTGGCTCTGATCATGGAGTCAAAGAAGAAGGTTATCCCGATATTTTGTGACATCAAACCTTCGGAACTTCGCGTTCCGGACAATTGGAAATGCCCGGCGAATGAAATTCAGAGATTTAACTGGGCTCTTGAAGAGGCGAAGTACACCGTTGGGCTCACGTTCGATTCCTTGAAAGGGTATGATTTTCTTCCTTTTAATAGAGTTTGTTAATTATTTCTCACATAATATTTACTGCTAAAGTTAAATAGTAATTGCTTATTATTTCAGGAAATAATTAATTTGCTAGGGTTTTACTTAACCTATGTTTATTTAATGGTTTATAGGAACTGGTCAGAAGTTGTGACGAATGCATCAGATATAGTGATCAACAGTTTAATGGAGATTGAGTCTGAAGAACGGAGGCTGATCAAGCGCAGGAACAATACCCCAATGACCATCTAATGAAGAAGAGCTGCATTAAAAATAATAATAATAATAATAAATTTAATGTTCAATAATAATAATATTTAACACCATTTCTTTATTCCTTTGTTTATTTCAATTGTAATACTTTAATTTTTTCGGTGGAGTTGAGTTGTATTTTAACCCGGATGGTTAATTTGGTGTACATTCTAATAATAAATGTGCCTTAATGTCCCACGATTCCATAACTATGTATCATGTGTAATTTGAGGTTCAATTTCATCATTAATCTTGTTGAATAGTTCTGTCCAATTTCTTATTAATTGTTATGCTTAAATATAATTTAATTGATTTGTCATGAGTTGTATTTAAGTCCAAAGATTGTTAACTAAAAGACAAAAATATGCTTTTGAAAAGTTTTTTTTTTTTTTTTTCAAATGATGGGGGTGCCTTTATCTCAATTAATTCTCCGAGACCCTAAAACTATTGATCGGATAAGAATTCCAATAGTTATCTTTATTAGCAATCGAGGAGAGACTCGAATTCAGTATTTCTTGAATAATACACCTAAAAATCTCTATTGAACTACTCTACCACTTAAAAGTAATTAAATCATTTTTAGTTCATAGTATAAAAATGATATACAAAAGTTTTCATAAACCTATTTGTTTGAGAATTCACTGAGTTACCTTGCAAGAACTCATTCGAATTTTCTAATTAACTTTGAGTCAATCATTCGGGTGGGTGGGGCTAATATTTGGATAAGGAACGATGCCGAGCCAAACAATACAACTAGAGAGAGCTATGGCATTCACGTTGGTGAAAGAAATCGGATAAGAATGCATTAATTAAAACGAAAAATGGAGGTAGTTTGTTGTTATGTGAAGACGGACACAAGCTAAATAATTGGTATCGATTATTCAAGAATCGATCAATGAACATAGAAAATAATAACTGGTTTATAACCTTTGGCGTAGAATAAACAAGATTGAAATTTATAGCTTAATTAGAATCATATCGACCCAGTTGTGCCACTAATGATCAATTCGATGTCGATAGAATGAAGAAGAAATGGAAATTTGTGAAGAAAAGTACTGACAAATATATTGATTGAATCAACAGAAATATTTCTCTAAAACAATGAAATGCTTATTTTTTTATTATCATTCATGAAATTCAGTCAACATACCTTGTTGTTAGTACAATCCAGCAGCTACAGGAAGATAAATAGAGAAAGAAAAAGAAGGCATGGCTCTGAAAAATCTGATAATGGCATTGCGCAAAACTTGCAGCATTTCTATAGCATATCTCATCAGGGATGGCCTCAAATATACTCCCCATAATCCCACCACAGCCATCACTATTTCCCCTCCCAAGCTCATTTCCTCTTCCTCTTTCATGCATCTCAAATATTCCTTCATTTAATTATTCAGTGCTTAACTCTTATCGATCACTTGTCTTTGCACCTCTTTCAGCTCACTGGAGAATTACATTTTGATGAGATCGAGTTTGGTGAATTGTTCAGTATATATGAGTTCGATGTCAGCTGCCTTTATGTAATTGTCCACTTTAAAACCTAGAGTTAATTAACCACCATTCTCTTCAACTACTAGTCTTCAACCTCTGGGTCTGCATCATTTAGATTTTTCTTCATTTATCAAGCAAGCATGGCCCACGTTTTCAAGTATTAAAATAGGGAACGCACTTACACATACTTAAAGTTTGCTATAAAGACAAAGTGATACCCAAAAGGTTTAGAAATGACAAACACTCACTTTTCGTCATGTTCTATTAGGAATTTCCATCTGTTAAATGACAAAAATGTTGAAAAGACTGGAATACTCACCAATCTCCATTCCCAACGCGCGCCAGCAAGGGTCAGTGCCATTGTTTATCACCGAACTTCGCAAAAAAATGTTAAATTCGATCAAAAAATCGATCGATGATGTAAGAGGACTGTGCAAACGGGCTTGGGATGAGAATTGAATTACTATATTATCTTTTAGCAGACATAAATTCCTAACAGAATATGACAGAAAATATTTGTTTGTCATTTTCAAACCTTTTGGGTATCAATCTGTCTTTATGCCAAACTTTGGGTAGGTGAAAGTCGTTCAGCCTATTAAAATATCAATATTCTAGGACCACATGTGGTTTTGTCACATGCAGATCACTATTAAATTAATTGCTTAATTATCTTCTCAAATACGTATATGCATGATTAACTAAAGATATTTAAATAGGACAGTTTCATCGAATTATCATTAATTGCAAATTCATTTCCTATTTCCAGGTTACATCAGATCAGTGAGAAGTAACAAAGTCTTAAGTGATTTAAATTTCTTTCGTCCTTGAAGTTAGAATGTTCAATGCTAATTTGTTTAATTAGGTGGAAGGTTAGATTTGTAGACAAATTTGGGAATTGACCACTACATTTAATTCTAATTTATTCTAATTGAATTCTAGTATGCTTGAAGAGCATTTTTTTACTCAATTTGTCACCGAATATTCAACCTTTCTTGATTCTACCGTTTTATAAACAACTACTCTTGCAAGTACTATTTTTACTACGAGCCTTTACATCAAATGCAATGTTTTAATAACTAACCTAGGGTGAAACCTGGCAAAGTTGTTGGCCCTTGGGTGGACCGGTTTAACCAGTTTGACGAGTCGATTAAACGGATGTTCAAAAGTTTAAAAATCAACAAATATACCCCTAAAAATTATGTTAAGTCTCTACATATTTGAAATGTAGCAAATACACCCTAAATACAAATTAGCAGTAGACTGGTTGGTGGTGGCGACACACGAAATGCAATCTCAATCATCCCTTGAGCCCATTCCCTAGAAAATCTATCCAAAATCTAGTGGAAATTGGTTCGATTTTGGCCAAATGTTATCATCGCCAACGTCAAGAACCCTCTCCATCACCCCGAAAATACTCCTCTTAGCCTCCTGATCAAAACCCATCTCAACCAACCTTTGTTCGTCTCGCCAATCGCTGACAAAGTTAGGTTGTTGCCATTGTTTTTTTTTTTCGATTTTCGATTGATTCACTCATAAAAAATCACCTTTGTCACCATCATTGTATTCACCGGCCTTTCCTCTTCAAAAGCCCCAACATCTCAGTCTTCAATTGTTCGTCGATCATCATTTCAATGTCTAAGGTTTTCGGTGAATAGGGAAATTGGTAACCCGGCCTGTTGAAGGCCCTAGGTCCCGGTTAAATCAGCCAGGCCAGGTCGAGTTTTAAAACACTGATCATATGTATACATTTTTTAATAATAGAAAAAGAATAATTTGCTAGAAAAGATACTTTGAAAGTTTCATAAGGTATGGTTAAAACTTAAAACGACAATTGAAAAAATTTATAAGACAACTTCAACTTAAAAAAATCAACCTGTTGGAGACGATAACCTGTCAATTTTTCGGTCTATTCAAGGCTGTTCAGCAAACTGGAAAATGAAGAAAAAATTTCCATGACTGTTACGTATCCATTTTGATAATAGGTAAATGTTAATTAAATTATATTTTAGGTGTTTTTTTAGGGATTTATTTGTTAATCAAGATTGAGTTTATCTCAATAATTTAAATAAATTAGATTAGGATATAGATGGGTTTTATTTTAGTTGAATAAGTCAGCCACATATTTAAGATACTTTATTTGAATGTGTATTTTGGTTTGTTTAAGTTGTGAATGTGTTTTGCTTTTTAGTCGGGAAGTGTGATTGTAAGCTTATATATATTTCCTAGATTTCTATTGAAAGGAATATGATGATTCTCTAGAGGTTTCTAACTCGCTCAATTGAATAAGAATTGCTTTCTTCTCTATTTAATATCAAAATAGATTTAAGAAAGAAAACTTCTTCAAGCACGTCTGTATCAAGTAAAAATGGATACGTAACAATGACTGACTTTGATACCAAGTTCAATAAAGAGCGAAAGAACAAATACCAAATCTGGAAACTTTCCAACTTCATTAATCCATTTATTTTTCAGAAACACAGCTTTTATATAGTTTATTAATACAGCTTAATTAACACTTAAAGCTAGTAACTAACTGCTAACTAACAGGCTAACCACTTGCTGACTTGTCACGCTACTGAAAATTGACTTAGTAACTCAAGTCAACTTGAGGACTTAATGAAACGTAACCTACAATGGAAAGCCCTTTTCGAGCTCAATGAAGCGAATCACTGGTTAATTTCGTAATACAAAAAGATGTTCTTTACCCACACTTGACTGTGATCGGGACTATATATTCACTGTTCTTCTTCACTTACCAAATAAAGAATAGTTTCACTGAATATGAGAAACTGGTTCATACAGAAGCTATGATTGCTTAACTTGGTTAAACTAAGTGCAATAACAGCATTGTGGGAAGCCTATATGGGGATTTTCATGGGAGAATGAAAAACTTGACGATGTGGGACAAATTCAGCTTCAATATATAAGAGAAGAGATGTTGATAAACTGTAGTATGTTGTTTATGGATGAACCCACATCAAGTCTAGTCTCAACTGCTAAACAAATTGTTTTTAGACCTGGTGTGGGCTCATCAAAAACAGTAGGCTAAGGTTTATCAACATCTCTTGCCCTATTACATCCACAAACATAAAGAATATGAAGTTAGTGTAAGAGGAACTACTGAGTGGGTTTTAGCAGTAAACACAGAATTTAAACTACCAATTGATATCATGACTTCAGAATAAACATTTATAGGTCTGGTTTGGTCTAGGAAATGTGTGTGTGGGTTAGTGTGCAGATACAAAATGAATGTAGTGTTAGTTGGTTAGTGTGCGTGGGTTAACATGTCATATTCTTTCATAAAATAACAAAGTCTACAACTACAACAAATGGCACATACCACTTCATTTTTCAGCCATATCATACGGCAACATAATAATCAATATATTTGTACTCTTCTATTTTGTGATCTGGTGACAAAGAACTTCTTTTTGGATGAACTTATATCATTGGGAGTGGTAATATTGGTGAGGAAATTCTTATACCATCTAGCAGAAAGCTTTGGAGTCCGATCAAGAGTCTGGCGATCGACATAGTAGAGTCCAAACATCGTGCCAAAACCATCTATCCATTCTAGGTTGTCCACCAAGCTCCAAACAAAATATCCTCGAACATCAGCTCCAGTCCTGTCAATTAAATCAGAATAAAAATTTATAAATAGACTAATTCTAAAAGTAAAATGACACCAAACTGGGCACTTTGATTTGGATTAGGTGATTTGATTCAATTGAGGTGGCTTTGTGTTTGAGATGATCAAATTACAACCCATATTGCAATGAATGAACAATAATTAATTTCATGAATCTGGTCAATACAGTGTGGCCAATTCCAGAACTTATAAAATAAGCATTGATCAATATCGCGTTTTTTCAATGCCCTGAATTTTTGTTTTTTCAAGGTATATGTAAAAAGCATACACATTTAGGAGAATAATTTGATCAGATACTCACTTTATTGCTCTAGCCAAAGCAGCAAGGTAGCCTTTATGGTACTCAATTCTCTTGACATCCTGAAGCAAATCTTCAACTTGTTTACTCTGTTCCCTTGGTGGTGCATACCCTACACCAAAAATGGAAAAGTAAGAAAACAGAATGAGAAGTCGGGAATAAGGTTTTAATTTTTGTCTTTTTATTTCCTCGTCTTTTTTGTGATGCATATAGGTTAAAAGAAAAGCATATAGGCACATGCATACTTGTAGCACATACCGTTTTCTGTCACATAGATGGGCATGTTTTTATATCTTTCCTTAACATAGTTAATGAGTTTCTCCATGCCTTCTGGAACAACAAAGAATTCTGGATTTCCACTCTGCCAGAAACCAAATGTAACCTTGTTAGATGATAATACAAGAAAATGTTATAAATATTACGAAATTCTTTTGCTAAAAAACTTGCGGCCTGAATGGGAAGTATGTAGCCAAAAAATTCATATTACTAATAATAAAATCATGTTAGCTCACTGGTTCTCCTATTGGAATTCCATCTCGTTCTCCGGTGGTGTACACAAAGCCTTTGATTGCATGATTGCTGCCTGAACTGCAAGCAGAATGGATGCAGTCCTTGGCATATAGAGTTGAGTAATGGTTGATGCCAATGAAATCTGTACTGCCTTTGATCAACTTAGTTTCTTCATGGGAGAAACTAGGCAATTCAGTTCCAAGATATTGACGCATTTCTGGTGGATAATCTCCGTATACTAAGGGATCAAACATCCTGCAAGACAGAAACCCAAAGTTCCTTTGTAAACATATCCTTCAACATTTTGTACACAGGAGTATTTGATGAGATTTGAAAAAAGATAGAAAATACTTTCAGTTTCTATAAAACTGAAGATAAGTTACAAAACGGNTTCAAATCAATATCAAACTTTGTCTACTAAAAAAACAATATTCAATATATTAGTAATTAAAAAGTTGTAATTCATAAAATTAAAAACAAGTTTACCAATAAGCGAGTCATAATCAACTTTTTATCATCAAAGTCAATCTTCTTGCTCTAAACAAATCTAAAAGTAAGTTTCTTTCACTAACACTAATCTAACAAAGAATCGATCGCAGACAAATCTGAAAGATTAAAAACAAAAATTAATTCAAAACCAAAATTACCTCAACCATCTCAACATTTCCAGCGGTTTCAAACAAGCCAGCAAACTGGGCACTGTCATTTGATGTCCCTGCTTCATGCCATATAAGCACTTCACAATTTACTATTCAAGCTCATTCTATTACCTGAAACTGCTCACGGTATAGCTTAACAGCCTTGGCATGTGACAGTAACATGTTGTGCATAACAATGAGGGGCTCTACATCAGAGTTGCCAGCAGAACAATTTCCAAATGGTGCTGAACAGTGAGCTGGAGGCTACCATCCCCTAACATATACCATTTTGCTTAGCAGGTTCGGCTCGTTGATGGTTGCCCAACTCTTAACTCGATCACCAAAATTCTCAAAGCATATTTTGGCAAAATGTACAAAATCTTCCCTGCAAGAACACTGAAATCACATACTGTACCAACAAAACTGATTCATCAGAACTAAATGAACAAGAAAGGGATTAAGGGATCTTAGAGCAACCAGGTATTGCAATCTTAAAAGCAAAAGTATTGAAGAAACCCCTTTAGAGATGGTAGAACTTAGTTACTAGGCATATATTCAGAACCTATTGAAAATAGAGTCGAGCATTTTTTTTCAGGGAAACAGAAAAGCCTATAGAGTGTGAACAGAACTTTACCGAATTAGAGGGCTGAACCAAGACCCATATCTATCTTCTAGTTCTTGTGGTAAGCCAAATGGAATATGGTCACAAACGGCTCAATTCCTGCATTAACCAATTCATATTCGTCATCTTCAAGAAAATTGTAAAAAAAAAAAAAAAACACAAGTGCTTAAGTTGTAGATTCATTGAAAAGGATATTACCTCTGCGCAAGAGATGGGCTATAATATTATTATAAAACATGATTCCATTTGGATTAACTTCACCAAATCTGCCTTCTGTTACAGCTCAGGAACATTATCATCAAGTAATTGAATATTAATCTCACTACATTAACATTCAATTAATTGTTACTAAGAACATACTTGGTAAAATTCTAACCCATGAAATTGAGAACCGGTATGCATTTACTCCAAGTGAATGCATAATCTCAATATCTTCCTGTGAAAGTAAATAAGAAATTCATATATGTTGAATAGAAGTTGCAGGTAAGTAAAAAATTAGTAAATTTAACCATTCATTTACCAAGAATCAGTGGTAATGATCATCAGCAACATCTCCATTATCATCAATTCCTTTAATTGATGAATGTGTTCAAGCTCCACAATCAAGCGATTCTTGAGTTCAATCAGCTCCTTTTTCGAATACGACGCGATATTGAAGGTGACGTAATTGCCCAAGAGGAGAAGTGACGGATTTAGGGCAGAAAATGGAGAAGAAGTGGCGGCCGGAGTGGAGAAGTGGATCTGCAATGGCGTCGTCGGCGGTAGGGTTTTGTAGTTTGGGGATTTTCGATGCCAACGTGACGAGGACTGTAAATTTTAGGAGTTGTGATTTTTTTTAACTTTTTTTACTTGTAAGGAATTAAGGATTCAAACGTTTTATCATTTGGGGCAAAATTTTTTTTTTTTTTTTATTTAAAACCGGGTTTGGGTTTTCTTTACTTTTAGATTTATAATCTTTTAAATTTAATTTTTTTTAATTTTAACGAAAAATTATTTACTTATTATTTTTTTAATAAAATCAAAAATTTGTTTTTCTCTATTTCTATGAACAAAAATCAAACCAGTTTTTCGGATAACCAAAAAAACACTTTGGTTGCTGGTTCAAATCGATTTCTACATTTTTCTGAATACTCCTACATTTGGGTGTTAGGGATACACCTTGACAAGAATTCACCAAGGCTAACAAACTCCGTTGAAATAGGCACAAAGTTAGTGCCAAAGTCATTGAGCGAGTCGTCGTCTATTGAATGGGAGTCATAGAAACGAGAAATTTTTTGTTCAATGTCGGAAATAGGTTGACTATGAGGGTTTGCAAAAATGGTTGAAATAGGGGGTAAGAATAAGTTTTAAGGAAAAAATTGTAGGAATTGTGAATGAAAAATTTGTGGCAAAATATGGGCGAGAAAAGTTTTGGGCAAAATTTATTTTGTTTTTTATATACATAATCCTTGACAGTTAAAAACTGTCCAGGATTGAGACTACAACAGTAAAGAACAAGATTTATAAAATTTATTTTTAACCAATTCCTTAACAGTTAATAATTGTCAAGCATCATCCAAAATGGTCAAAGATTATTTCAAATTCTTGACAGTTCATAAATGGTCAACAATCAGTCAAAAATTGTAATTCTTGACAGTTTTTGAAAACACTCAAGAAAAACTGTTAACTCATTCTGTCAGATAGGGGTTTTTAGTAAATGACTTTTAAAAGGGTGTTTTAAAAGTTTGAGGATAGGAATGGCGTCAATTAGGGATGGGCATGGGCCAGGCCGGGGCCAGGGACCCCTGTCTTCGGCCCTGGCCCGAAAGCCCAAAGGGATTCCCCGATCCCGGCCCGTAGCCCGTTCAGGGAATTCGGGAAATCCTCAAATGAGGCCCGTTCCTCGAATTCCCCGTTTGGGGGTTTTGTGTTTTTTTGTGTCTTTATTACCATTTTCTCCAAATTATAATAAATCATCCAAAAAGAAATTAAATCTATAATGTATATATTAAACATAAGGACCATCATACTAAATTGATAATATATTACAATAGAATTGAAATAATGATTCAATGAGGGACAAAAAAAAAAAATTATAATTGATTTATTGATTTATTATAATCAATCAAAACACCAAATGGTATATTACACTATATATATGTATTAACATTGATTATAGATAATAGTTATATGTATATGTATAACATTATATGTTAATACATTATACTTATACTTATATGTCATATTAATGTATAATGTCAAATATATATCATTATATGTATAATGTCGAATGTATAACTTTTGTCATAGCATTAACATATTATGTAAAATGTATAATATATATATGTGTGTGTGTGTGTGTGTATTCAAATATTTATAATAATATTTTATTTAATATAGTTTTTATTTTAACCTATTTGTATATGGTTTCATAAAATACTTACACAATTATAATTTGCTTTGTTATATATATGATTGATTTTCAAATATTAAAATAATATAGGTATATATGATTGATTTTAATTATTAAATTAAAATAGGTATATGAATTATATGATTGACTTTATCAACCATATATAGAATATTCTATATATATATATATATGGATGGGCCGGGGATTTTGGGGCGGGCCAAGGCAAACTTATCTCGGCCCCGGCCCGTCTCGTCCCCGAATTTCAGGACTAATGTTAGGCCCGATCTTGGCTCAAATCCCGAATGATTCGAAGAAACTCCACCCCGTTTGGATCGGGGCGGGGCGAGTTCCCGCGAGGCCGGGTTTTATGCCCATCCCTAATGTCAATGGTCCTTAAAAGGGTGTTTTAAAAGTTTGAGGATGGGAATGACGTCAATGGACCATTTTTTGCATGGGAAAATGTCATTAACTCTTTGGGGGCGTTTGGTTGCAGGTAATGGAAGATTGTTGAAGTTATGTTATCTTATATTATTTGATTACCATGTTTAGTTGTCAAATAATATAAGATTCCGGTAATCTTGAATTATCGATAGTTTTTAACTGTTGGTAATATTGAAGGTAATCTAATTGTCTCTATTTTCGTAGGTATTGTAAGATTACTAAGGTAATCTTATTTTTGTTACAATTTCATCCCTTAATAATAAAAATTTTGGACAATAATGCTCATGTTTTAAAATAAATTCACATTAATATACCATTTCAATTTTACCCTAGTTTAATTAAGTTTTTGGACAATAATATCCTTATATTTAAACAAATTACAAACCACCACGGCCGATAGTAGGCCAACAAACACGGACCGCTGTCGGAGTCCCTAAAAATGATCGAGTTTCACTGGGAGGCTCCGGGAGGCTTTGATATGGTCGTTTCCGACCATATTAATAGCCAAAAATGGCCATATCAGGCTAGATCTGGCCGGAAATGGCCCCCTAAACCCTAAACCCTAATCCCGGTTCCAAACACGAGGTTGGGGTCAATGGCCTATGATGTTAGTTGACTTTGCAATGTCAATTTGTCTTTTTATTTATTCATTTTTATATTCTATTGAGCCTTGATTGATTGAATTGAAATCAAATTTTGGTCCCTGCAAAATCCATCCAAGTTTTCACCTTATTTAAACAAAAAAAGAAAAAATAGTACTTGACATGCACGTGACTGATTGAATTGAAAAATGAATATAAATCGAACAAAGAAGAGAAGATAAAAAGAGTAAGAAAATAAAACCTTTGAGTGGCGGTATGGTTTTGAGATTGCGCATGATGGTTGCGGTTTATCTCGGAGCTCGACATCTTCTTTGGTTTCTTTTTAAGAATTTTATAAATATTGAATCAATAGATTGGAAATTCTTATGAGATTTTGCCCTTCTTATTTATAAGCCAACATAGAGATAAAGGCCATACAAACTTCAGCGGGTCCCGTTAGTGAAATTAAATGCTGCTCCCTGCAAGCCCATGATATCCGCCAACCTGCAAGCCCATGATATCCGCCAATAACCTGCAACAAACCAAGAGAAGGCATTGCGAATATTTGACTATAAAATCAATCAAAAATTATAATTCTTGACAGTTTTTGAAAACACTCAAGAAAAACTGTTAACTCATTCTGTCAGATAGAGGTTTTTAGTAAATGACTTTTAAAAGGGTGTTCAGAAAAATGTAGAAATCGATTTGAACCAGCAACCAAAGTGGTTTTTTGGTTATCCGAAAAACTGGTTCAATTTTTGTTCATAAAAATAGAGAAAAACAAATTTTTGATTTTATTAAAAAATAATAAGTAAATAATTTTGCTTATTTGTTGCCCTTCTTATTATAAGCCAACATAGAGACAAAGGCCAACAAACTTTAGCGGGTGCCGTTAGTGAAATTAAATGCTAAAAGTGAAATTAAATGCTGCTCCCTGCAAGCCCATGATATCCGCCAACCTGCAAGCCCATGATATCCGCCAATAACGTGCAACAAACCAAGAGAAGCATTGCGAATATTTGACTACAAAATCAGTGACTCTCAACGAAATGAAATTAATTTTTCAATTGGGCTTTCTTGGGCTAATACAGTCAGATGGTCGTACTTGCGACCATCTGCTGAGTCTTTCCTTTATTTTAGCCTTCTCCTGGTTCGTTGCAGGGAAAAGTTTTTCTTTGCAGAAATCTCCTACTTTTCCCTGCAACAAACCAAGGTGAGTAGCTGCGCGGCACCCGCTGAAGTTTGTATGGCCTTTATCTCTATGTTGGCTTATAAATAAGAAGGGCAAAATCTCATAAGAATTTCCAATCTATTGATTCAATATTTATAAAATTCTTAAAAAGAAACCAAAGAAGATGTCGAGCTCCGAGATAAACCGCAACCATCATGCGCAATCTCAAAACCATACCGCCACTCAAAGGTTTTATTTTCTTACTCTTTTTATCTTCTCTTCTTTGTTCGATTTATATTCATTTTTCAATTCAATCAGTCACGTGCATTTTTTATTTTTTATTTAAATAAGATGAAAACATGGACGGATTTTGCAGGGACCAAAATTTGATTTCGTTGGCGCAATGCAATGATGCATTTAGATTCCTCATTCCGTGCCTTGTTGCTGTTTTACAAGTGCTTCCGCCATTGGAAATTCAGCCAGCAATTTTGCAAACTTTTCTATTGGCGACATCCATTTACTGCTTTGCTTCAACAGCTTACACCAAGCTTAACAGTCATCAGACAACAAACAACAACGCTCAACTCTTTGGCCTCATCGCTTTCATTTCTGGATCTCTTTCTTCAGCTTTATTGGTCTACATCATTGTCCCACCTTTAATTCTCTGTATAATTCTTATTTCATGGGGGGGTTTTCTGTCCATTTTGTTAGCCCATCAACATGTCCCCTTAGATAATATGGAAACTTACCGAAAGGTTCTCCAAAAGATCAGGAACATTAAGATCCCTGAAAAGATAAGCAGTTTATGGAGCAAAAACCAGTTAGGACTGCCAAGAGCTGGAAGGAATTAATGTCAAGGTTATATATGAAATTTTTTTAAATTTTGCATCACTTGTATTTACCACGTATTCTACTAAGAAGATTTCATGGGCTCTACATTCACTAAATAATCTTAAGAAATAATTATATTTTTCATGTGAATGTCTCTGGTTCTTGTTTTTTAATTTTTTGTCCTTGCTATACATTGGCATATAACAACAAATCAAGGCTCAATAGAATATAAAATTGAATAAATAAAAAGACAAATTGACTTTGCAAAGTCAACTAACATCACAGGCCGTTGACCCCAGCCCCGTGTTTGGAGCCGGGATTCACCGGCAAGGCTTTGATACCCCGACAAGTCCGACAAGGAGTGGATGATGACGGGGGACGATGGTGGTGGCTGCCGCTGGAATGTCCAGTAA